GGAAAAGACCTGAAAACCTTCACTTGCTTTAATCCAGATTAAAATATATGTATGTGGATCCTCTGACTGAACGATCTGAAAATTATTAGTTATCTTTTAGTACAATTTTTAGTTATGTTTTAATATAGATTATCTATCATTTCCAAAATCATTTAATCTTATTATTGGGAAGAATTCATTGAGTTTTAGAATCACTTCAGAATCAGAACAAGTTCAGAATCATAATCAGCTCAGATTAAGAATCAGTTCAGATATAGAATAAGTTCAGAAACAGAATTAGTTCAGATTTAGAATCAGTTCAGAAATAGGATCAGTTCAGAATTAGGATCAGTTCAGAATCAGAACCAGTTCAGAAACAGAATCAGTTCAGAAACAGAATCAGTTCAGATTTAGAATCAGTTCAGAAACAGAATTAATTCAGATTTAGAATCAGTTAAGAATCAGAACGAGTTCAGAAACAGAATTAGTACAGTTTTACAATCAGTTCAGAAATCGGACCACTTCAGAATTAGGATCAGTTCAGAATCAGTTCAGATTTAGAATAAGTTCAGATTTAGAATCAGTTCAAAATCAGAACCAGATCAGAAACTGAATTAGTTCAGATTTAGAATCAGTTCAGAATCAAAACCAGTTCAGAAACAGGATCAGTTCAGAATTAGGATCAGTTCAGAATCAGAACCAGTTCAGAAACAGGATCAGTTCAGAATCAGAACCAGTTCAGAATCATAATCAACTCAGATTTAGATTTAGCAAATCAATTAATCTGTTAATAATTTTTTCGATTAAGCGCTGAATATTCAGATAGTCAAAGGTTCCTTAAAGAAGACTTTTTACGAAATCAAACCAGGTAAAACTAAAACATTTCCACTTGAGGAGTTCTGTATATACAAAAAAGATTTGCTTTACCTTAAATGCAAAATGTTCATATATGTTTTTTTTTTTTTACTGTTTTTATCATTTCTGCTCTAAGGGGGTCGCTCTGTCAGCTAAAAGGATATTTTAGAGTCTCTATACTCCAGTTAACAGTCGATTACTAAATTAGTTGCTAATTATTTCAATAATCAATTAATCACGATTTATCAGATTAATTGTTTCAGCCCTAGTTCAGAGTCACAATCAGTTCAGGAGTCAATTCAGAATCTGGAAGCTTTTCCAAGTCAAGAATTTTATTAGAATGTCAGATCTATGTGGAATCTGAAATCTGTCCATGATCTATAAACAGATTATCCACCCCCAATCAGGAGACTGTTTAGTGTCATGCAAAAGTGTTGGACATAGAATTTTTTTTACAACCAAGAATCCAAAAGGCAGAAACTTGTGTCATCAGAAACGGGCTTTGAAATTGCCACAGGGAATTGGTTTTCTCAAAACTAAATGCATCAGTTTGAAAGTGAATTTCATTAAAAAACAAAATGTCTTTAATTATTTGAAACGAAACAAATTGGGTTTAGATCAATATTTATTGTGTTGAAAATTTAGATTTTTTTCCTTGCCACACATCCAAGTCTTTGAGAAAGGCCAGAATATTCAAACAGATGTGGATCTGGTGAAGCGAAGCGGCTGATAGGCTAACTGTAACCCCAGGCTCACACCGACTCCGGTCTTACCGTTGCGGTGCGGTGGGTGCGGCGCCGCAGTGATTCCAAGTCATTAAAAAGACGTAAACCTCTCTCACCGGCTGCTGAGATGTCCGGCTGCGGTTACCGAGACACGCTGCAGAAAATTCCGCAAGAAAGCTATCCTTGCGGCGTGCCGGAGCCCTCCGCAACAAGCTCTCGCAAATATCCTTATTTGGGCCGTGTTATCGCGTGAAGTTACGTGAACTCAAGTGAACTTCTGTTAAATCTCCGGACCTGTTGCCGGAGCCGCAGAGCCGCACCGCACCGTAGTCAAAAGGGCGGTGTGAGAGGGGGTGTGCGGGAGTTGCGGTCTCCGTCGGCTCGGTAACCGCACCGGAGCCAGTGTGAGCAAGGGGTAACAGTGATGCAAGTTGCTGGTGAAGGTTTCCAGTCATCCAGGTCATAGTCATTCCAGAAAAATAAAAAACAATCCACTGGACTTTGTTTCCAAATTTCAAGATGTTTCGCTTCCCATCCAGGAAGCTTTTTCAATTAAAAATGTCAGTAATAGTGTTGAGTTCGAGGTTTTATAGAGTAGCCCAACAAAACCTCATTTTTGTTTTGAAAACATGCAAATTGGAATTGGAATTGGGGTAGTCTGGCTTCTTTTGTTAGCCTGCAATGCCCCATACCTGTCTAAGTGTCTGAAAGGGGGGTCGTTAAAGGGGATTGTTGGACTGGCTGAATAGGCAAGGTCCTCCGCTCTCCTGTACCGGGGCTGCGATGATAACGGGAAAGGATTAACTCAGTTGCTGCATTGTACGTTTTTGAAAGCTGGAATCTGAGTCCACCCACTCTCTGTTTAAAGGGCAGGTCAGACTTCTGCAACCGCACAAATCAAATGTCGCTTGGGTCTGGTTGCGAACCAGTTTTGCTGGTATTCTTCTTCACTGTCGGTCTGGAATTTCTAGGGACACATAGCAGTTTCCCACCAAAGCGCAAGAGGGAGCCTATTTGAGAACTCGTGAGAACTTCGGTGGATGGTCTCGAGAACTTCGGCGGTGCCGGTGGGAGTGTTCATCTTCCAAAACAACAATGGCGCGTCTGCAAGATATCCCGGTCACAGAGATGGATCTAGAGTTGCTAGACATCGAAGAGGAACAGGTTCTGTTAATGGAGGTGGCAAAAAGACTGATTAACTTTTCGAATCGACAAGTTCGACCACATAGACAGCCGGAAAAGCATACGAAAGACCAATCACAGCTGCTTTTTGTCTGCGCACTTCCGCTTGAGGTCTGCGACTGGTTTGCGACCGTCCGACGCATAGTCAGGATTTTTTTGAGGTGCGCAACGACGGTTGCAGAACCTCTGCGTGGGGGCGTGGTCACGCACAGAGACAGATTTGAGGTTGTTTTTTCATTCTTGACATAGAATGCTTCCTTCACGCCCCTCTCAAACCACCTATTTTCTTTATCCAAAAGTGAACATTCTGGTCCTCAAAAGAATGTCCTTTGTCCATAAGGTTTAGATGTACAGCAGAGTCTTGTCCGGAGGAGGTGAGCTCTTCTATGTTGGGCCGTGCGTTTGTGGGGAGGTTGTTAGGTTTCTCAAATATAAAGATCAGAGCATCCGTCAACGCTACTCCTGACATTCTGAATTTAAAAAGCTTCCTGGAAGGGAAGCGAAACATCTTCAAACGTGGAAACCAAGTTTTTTGGAGTGATGCTAGTTGACGCCAGATTAGCGTAGTGTAAATAGATCTTTCATCGTCAGTGTTTTCCTCATGTCTCGACGCAGTGGGGCTCCGAAAAAAAATGGCTCCCAGTGTCCTGCAAAAGTAGCACCATAGATATATAGAACTAGATAGAACAACCACTATTGGCTGCTATAGACAGAAACAAACAGGGACATTTGTTTAACTGATGATTCCCAATACAAACCTGAGAGTTTTGCTGCATCTCGTTGGATATGATGTGAATCTATTACTCTGGTCTTTCTCAAAAACCAGGAAATGTGACACAAAAAAAAATATTGAAATCGAAATTAGTTCAACAGAATAATCAGTGCAATAAAATACAATTTCAAAACATTTCTTTTTTGGTTTAACCTCATTAAATACAGTTTTTATTCAGCTTCACGTTATTTAACCCAATTTTGGTTTAATGAATTTCCTTTCAAAGCGTTGCATTTAATTTCCGTGTTTAAACATGCAGATTGACTTTAGGAATTTTAAGTTGTACTTTCTGGTGTTAAAGTTCAGTTCCTGATAGTACAAGTTTCTGCCCATAGAATTAGTTCTAAGTCAGATTTGTTTTTTGTTCATAATCGGTTAAGATTTAAGAATATTTTCAGAACATCAAATCTTCCCTGGACCATTTCCTGATTAAGACCCTATGGAGAATCAGGAACCAGAACAGGTTTCAGAGTCAATAAGGACAAGAATGAGGACATATCTCTGAATCTGAAGCTTTTCTGTCTGAACTGGATCAGCGATGAGAAAAGGCCTCAGAGAAACCCAGGAAGAAAAACCTTAAACTTGACCCTCAGCTCTCATGTGTGTAGATTACCAGAAGGTGAGCCGGCCTAAACCACCAAGGAACCTCATCAGTCGCTCTGAGCAACACCTTTCACCACATAGAAAAAACACCTCATATAAAAACGACTCTGTTAACCGAAGAAATTCAAAATAACTTTTCACCCAGAATAAAGAAATTATTGTAATTTTATGCTTTCACTTCCAGAAAACTGCATTTTTAATTTTTTTTTTGGTTTTAAATGTAAAATTTCCAAAACTCTGATAGGAAAACCTTTTGTAAAATCAGCATCTATTTGTGCTCTGTTCTTTGTTCAGCAGCTGCAGATGGAAATTTGAAATGTCGGCTCCTGCAGAAACCTTTGTTAATTCTAGACCATCGTCTGTAGGAGCAGTTTTAATGGAAATGGACTAAAATGGCTGCTCTGTCTATGCATCATTGGTTTTCTGTGGTTTGGATATATTCATATATGATATAGGTAATATTTGGAAAGTAAAAGCCTTTCCTGCTACACAAAAAGCAGAATTAACTCTAGAACTTGATCATTAAAGGTCTAGTTTGATACCTGCAGGCCAGACGGCGTCCAGCTCCAGCAGATCAATTTAAATTTCACATAAAAAGCAGATTTCTGAATTTAGTTTCAAACATTAAGGCTTTAACTCCTTTAAAAAGTGTTCCCCATCCAGCAGCAGCTCAGAAAAATCCTCCATCTTGGTATCTATCTGTTCAATTGTGTTTTTAATATTTCACAGAAGCCAAACTCTGACATCCCCTCATTAATAATCAACAGTTCTGACGTGTTTGGACCTGTCTTTAGCAGGCAGCTAAATAAACCTAGTCTCCTCTCCCTTCAGCGTATCGGACCCGTTTCCCTCCAGAACCGGCGGCCTGATCACATTCTTTCCTTCATCCAACAAACCAAGGCGCTCGCTTTTATCCTCATAAAACTATTTTTTAATCAATGACACTTCATGTTTGGTGCAGAAACGCACTACAAAGGTTACATCTGAGCAACATAGAAAAGCCGTCAAACTGTCTCTGGGTCCAAGTTCTGCTGGGTTTTCCGCAGCGCCGCCGCAGGTCGCATACAGAACCCTCTACGCGTTCGTCATGCCTCTCTTTAGTTCGTGCAGCTCCGTCTGGTTCTGGCTGCGCAGTCGGCAGTCTCTGGCTGCGGCCTCGGCCTGCTGCAGCATCTTCTGCTGTAATCCGTTTAAGTGGGAGCCAGGGCCCCCCTGCAGGGGCCCCAGAGGCCTGAAGCTGGAGTATCCGGGGATGAAAGGGGAGGTGTAGTACAGGTGTCGCGGCAGGGCGGGGCCATGGGTCAGGGAGCTCCGCCCCCTGTTCTGTGAGTCACTGCTTCCTGTGTTTTTGTCCACAGACGTGGCGATTTCAGCCAGGGACCACAGTTTGGGCTTTGGGGCCGGGTTTGGCCCCTGGGTGGAATCCATGTGGTCCTTAGCCAAGGAGCTTGGCGATGAAGTACGCTCAGAGCCTCTGAGGGCCTCTGGGGGCCCGCTTTGAGGAGGGGTCCCTGAAACAGAGATGGGAGCTGCTATTTGGCGCAGTCTCTGGTCCAAAGGGCCCGGATCCGTGAGGCCCTGCTCGGCTCTGGCGTCCTCCTGGAACAGCTGACTGACAGGAGCCGAGGACTGATGGAGGGCTGTGGAGAGAAGAGAAACGGGTCAGAGCAGAACGGACCAGTGACTGAAATACAAAATCAGAACAGAACCAAACAGACCAGGAAGCAACGGGTTTGATCAGAGCAGAACCGATCTGGGTCAGCAGAACTATCACGTAGTGACAGAGCTGACCTGATGGGTCTGAATGAATCGGAAAAATAAACGTGGATTCATTTTCAAACTAAAAAAAAAAACAACAAAAACATAAAAACCATGAAACAGAACGCAGGAGGACAGATCAGAACCAGAACCAATCAATAATCTGCAAAGGTTCCTCTAATTCTGGGTCAATCATTTTACTGAAAGACATTTTATATTTCAGCAGTGATAAAATTAATCTGAATGTCCTGCAGAAAACTGGAAATTCAAAGCAAAGAAAGTGGAATTCAATGAGTGATTCAGATAAATTCTGATGGATCCGATCCGTCCCTGAACTCAGATCCATGTCTCTAAGAATAAACATCATTTTTCAATGATTTATTCTGACATTAATGCTTCTTTCTGCAAATAAATGAATAAAACAAATAAAATCCTACTGTTTCTTTATAGAATAATCAATATTTCTTCAATGAAACAAAGCACAAGTAATTAATTCTAATAAATCGGCTGATTTAGATTTTTAGCTCTGTTTGAAAATGTCAGAAAAAAGGCAAAAAAATGTTTTCTGCTACATTAAGTTTTTCTTTTAAAATCTTTTAACAAAAATTAACTTTTGCTGCTGAAGTTTTGCTCTCTGAGATTTTCAGGGATGATGGAAACATCGTCCGGAGCAGAAGACAGAAAACTGTCCTGGTTCCTTTTTGTTCCAGCAGCTTCCAGGTCTGCAGGTCGTCCACATGGAGCTGCCTTAGATCCAGATCATCTTCATGTCTGAACGTGCCACGCTAAACCCCAGCTGATCAGTTAATCAATGTTTAATTGACGAGTAATCGATGAGTAATCGATTAACCGGTGCGACCGATCTCCGACCCTCCCATGATCACTCACCGCTGTCGCTCCGCAGCTTCGTCTCTTCCTCCATCATCTTCAGGGGCTCCTCGTCTTCCTCTGTGCGCTCCAGGTCGATGGCGTCCTCCTCCTCCTCGTCCTCGCTCCTGTTCCGGGGCGTCCACGTCATCTTGTTCTCCTTCTTCAGCCGCCGCCGGGCGTTGGCGAACCAGGTGGACACCTGAGTCAGCGTCATCTTGGTGATGATGGCCAGCATGATCTTCTCCCCCTTGGTGGGGTACGGGTTCTTCCTGTGCTCGTTCAGCCAGGCCTTCAGCGTGGCCGTGGCGTCCCGTGTGGCATTCTTCCTGTAGGTGGGGTCTCCGTACGGGTAGCCCCCCAGGGGCCCGAAGGCATGGTAGTCCAAGGACCCGGAGACGGCCGTGGACGGATCATAGCCTGGATTCTGGAACATAAAACCCAACATTAGCAGCTGCTGGGAGGATCGTCGTCCTAAAATCTTAGTTCTGATCTGAAGGTCTGTGCTGCTGCTTTGAGAGATAATCTGCTGGCAGAATACCCACAGGATCAGATTCCTAATCTGTGTGGGATTATTTCAATTAGACAAAGGTTTTTAAATCAAACCAAACTGACTAACAGATATAAGTTTGTGTCTGACAGGAAAAAAAAAAACAGAACAATGCCAAAAAATGCTTCTTTATTCAATATTTCTGTCAATTTAATCCAACCAGCCAGATTAATTCTGTCTCCTCTAATTATATTAAAAAGGAGAAAACAATCTAAACATACATGATTTTAATTTAGATTAAAGAGCCTCAGTTTTGTTTATCCTCATATTTTATATTCAGGTTGATTTAACATCCGCAGTCATATTTCTAATCAATGAAATCCACTTTTTATTTTAGATTTTCTGAATTAAAAACTTTCTGCAGCATCAAATCCTCCATGAAATCACGTCCAAAGCGCGTTTTTAAACTTCTCTGCTTCTGTCAGAGTTTCTCAGAGAGGAAGCAGAACCGGGGCGGTTCGGACCCGGTCCGACCCGCTCTGACACTCACCATGAAGGAGCCGATGGCTGCGGCGGCCCGCGGCTCTCCTCCGTACGGAGGGTGGGAGCTGAACCCGGGGGAGGAGGAGGAGGTCGACGCGGAGTAGGGAGCGAAGGCTGAGCCCTCGGTCCTCTGACCCAGGATGATCCCGGAGCTGAAGGGCAGAGCCAGGGACTGGAAGAGGAACCCCTGAGGATAGGCCATGGCGGAGCCGGACACTTTTACGCACAGACGCGCTCACATCGGAGAGTTTAGGGGGAGAGCAGCATCCAGGAGCATCGCAGGTGCGTTCAGGTGCAGTCTGACTCTGTGCAGCGGCGAACCCACTCCTGCTGCAGCGGAACCCACGGACACACTGAAGACACGCAGAGGGAGGAGAGGCTGAGCTCCTCCTCCTCCTCGCGCGCGCACCTCCTTCCCTGTGATGCTGCCGCCTCCCTGCAGGTGAACGTTTCAGGGAACACCTGAACACGCGCTGGTTCCCAACCTGAGGTCCGGGGACTCCGGGTTCATCTCCTGACAGAGGAGGGTCGGTTCCTTCAGGCTCCTGGACTGAGAGGAAGGAACCTTCAGAAAATAAAATCTCTCATCGTTTAAAGCTTTGACTATTTAAAGAGGCAGCTGTCAGTCACTGAACCCAACAGAAACACTGACACTTTCATCACTGTGACTGCTGCAGAAGATCATTTATACAGTGGAGTGATCAAAGTTATTAAACCTCTAACTCAGTTACCACTAATATTCACTTTCAATCTGAAAAAATCATACGAAGAGAAAAGATAATTAGAAGAATTTTATTGATACAATTACTTTGTCTTTGGCACTCAGACCTTGGCAGGAAACATAGCGCTGAATTTTGATAGATATGCAGGAACAGGAGCAAAGAAGAGGGTTGTTTCCCCCCAGGCCTGAAACTGCTTCTCTAAATGAGTCAGAACAGTCTGTGAGAACAATAATCTAAATATGAAAACAGACACGCCTCGGTGCTATTGTTGCCCTACAATCAGCGCATAAAACAAGGGAAGTAATATATATGGGAATTTGTCAGTGTCAAAGGGGATAAAAGTGCTATAAAGGATGCTTCAAAATTCCAAAAACAATCCACTGGACTTTGTTTTCCAAGTTTGTAGACATTTCTCTTCCATTCTAGGAAGCTTTTTCAATTCAAATTCAATCATAAAAACTCACACAAAGAGAAAAGGCAATTAGAAGAAATCTATTGATACATTTATAGGCTTTGGCGCTCAGACCTCGGCAGGAAACATAGCGTTGAATTTTGATAGATATGAATGAACAGGAGCAAAGAACAGGACAGTTTCCCCTAGGGCTGGGCGATATAGAAAAAAAGCTTATTAATAAAAAAAAAAATGCATATTGATCGATATCGATACTTATTGAAAAGA